AATCTTGTCTTCTCCCTTTTATACTAGAGTAATGTTATTCATAATCGTTCAATGCGATATTCGTCGAACGTGACTTCTTATATGATGATTTGTGATTTGATGCGTAATATGATAGATTTTTATTACCTCATGTATAAAATAACTAACCCTCACATGTATATTACCTAGGACGACCACGATAATGAGTTACTGGATATAACATTATTCTTTATGCTATTGGTTTCATTTTGACAATTTTCAACGGAAAACGATAATTATTCGTTTTGAAAAGATATCCTGAACAAATCATTTGATGATCTTTTTTTTTTTTTTTTAATTAATTCACTCGACAAATTTGATGGTTGTGTCTTTACTCCAAAACAAATTGATTTATAAAATACAAAGCTACAATCAAAACAAATAAATTGAAGTTAGGTAATGTAATTAACATGAAACAAGAGCAGAATTAAGTCAATGTGAAAACTGTAGATTCTTAAAAAAAGTTCAATCCCAATCTTGAGGGCCTCCACCGCCCTATTCCTGAAGTATTGTGAGAAAGGTAAATCGCGGAATGTGCTTCAACAAGTCAGGAAACAAGAACTTACATGTACACTGGTACCCACAAAGAGTCAAATTTCATATCTCAAAAATCGAACTCTCACACTGCGGCTACTAGCAAGGCTGAGACTATCTCTCTCCTGTCCTTTGCACCACTGGAATATATCTCGGGGCAAAAAAAAATAAAAATTTGTAGATTCTTAAAGGTTGAACCCTAACCTTGAAGACCCCCACCGCCATACTCCTGGAGTATCGTGAGGAAGGTAAATCGCGGGATGTACCTCAACATGTTAGAAAACAAAAATTTGTCTGTACACTGGTGCCCACAAAGAGTACAATTTCATATCTTAGTAATCGAACTCTTACACTGCGCTGCCAGTAAGATTGAGACTATTTCACTCTTGTTCTTTACACCACTGGGCTATGCCTCGAGGGTAGGGGGGAGGGAACTGTAGATTCTTAAAAAATGAAAAAGAAAAAAAGGTTGAACCCCAACCTTGAGGACTTCTGTCGCTCCCACCCCTTGAACTTTGTGAGAGAGGTAAATCGCGGGATATACCTCAGAAGGTTAGGGAATAAGAGCTGCATGTACACTGCGCCTATAAGGAGTCCAATTCTATATCTCGAAAATTGAACTCACACACTGCGACTGCTAATAAGGCGTAAAATAACCTCACTCCTGTACTGTACCTCGGGAGGCAAAAAAAAAAAAAATAATAATAATAATAATAACACTGTATATTCTTAATTCTATGGTTTGGTGACAATGTGGTCCCAGGAATCTGAATGATAGATACGGATATTATTTTTAATTTTAACATATTAGCATAAGAAGAAAAGGACAATTTTTAGTCTGACACTTTTTAAAAATCAGAAGCAAGAAAGTTATTAATAATTTGTTCACATTATCATATGTTGAAAATTAAAAACGGTAGAACAAATCCTTGTATCTTATGGAGGAGTTTGTGGTAGTAATTTATATAGATTTTTGTTGACTTGACAAATTGAAAGATCTTAGTAGACTATTGTTTGTTATCGACCGTTGAATAGTATATTATCTAGTTAAAATGAAGGGGGCGTGATGAGGGAGCCAATCAGGAGGGAAACACGTGGGCGGGAGGAGTGGGATGGGCTCGAGGGTAGATGGCAAATTAAATAGGCGTTGGCGATATAAGATACATGACAAATAGTAAGTTATTTAAAAAAAGATAATGCTATACGTATCGAATCTTTTACTTACTACTCACAACAACGATAGGGAGCATGACCGACATTTTTAAATTCACATGGGGCCGTCATACATTGTGAGAGGGGGACACCATTTGGTAAACCCCCCCACTCCGGCGGGTACATATGGATTATTCCTTTGAAAAATAATGGTCAACTAAAAATCCTCCTAAAGAGGGTGTATGAACAGATTGTGGCATTGTATTTTTTAGAACATTATTAAAGAACTTTAACTACTTGAAGTAGACATTAATCGAAACTCTCGTATCAACATAAAAACAACAGTTGCTATTTAGTGAGATCTAATTGGGGATGACAATGTGACAAATCTAGAACAAGGTAAAAAGCCCTACACCCGTCAAGAATTTTCGACCCTAGTCCCCACTTAATACTGGAGAGGGACAGGGCAAGGCAATTCCCTGTCCTTTCGTTAATCTAGGAATTGGGTCAATGAGTCGTGGCAGTAAAAACACAATCCAAAATCGAGTAGTGGTCCCATCAGGGATTGGGCCTCGAGTTGCGTGAAATTTTCTTATCAAATTGTCATCCCTAAGCTAACTCGCTTTGAACTAGAAATTTTGGGGACCTCAAAGTTAAACAAGAATCTATAAGGAATGAGGGATCCACGTACAAATTTCTACATTAGACTTGTAATTCAACTCACGCAATTAATATTCTTTTATGCTAAAAAAAATAATAATGATAATAACTCAATTTTGTACGGCTGTTGTACAACTTTTTAAGGCATTGATTAATTATTCCAACTGTATATTTAATCCACTTAATTTATTACAATGTAATTATGCAAGTGCATTTTTCTTAAAGAAATAACAAAAGATTCCTTGCCTATTTTATCTGCTAAGACATGGTACAACATTTTTTTCGGGTTAAACTATTTAGGTAGTGAATTATTTTTATTTTTATTTTTATTTTTGCGGTTGCTCTCTCGTTTTTCTTTTTTTGGGATTTAATGTTAATTATTTCAAAAATAAAAATGAGTTTCAAAAGACACCGTATTTTTGTTAACTTCTCAAATTATTCGACAATAATAATAAGGATGCAAAATAATTATTGTAGTCAAAGGTATTTCATTGCTTATTATATTGATTTTTTTTCCCTTTTTAAAACGACCGTTTTAAAATCAAACCCCTCACACATTCTATAATTTTTGTTCAAAAAGACCATTTTTTTAAATTAAAAAAAAAAGGTTTTTTTTTGCACTCCCTCCATCCCACAAAGTTGGGCTTGCTTGCATTTAAGAAAATTTAATAATATAGTTTGAAGTATAAATTATACTTACATTTTTCTCATGTACCATCATTACATAAATAATCATTTAAATAAAAAAAATTCATATTTGATCATAACATGACATATTAAATAGGGGTATATTATCAAACTAAAAAATAATCATACTTTCAACAAGAAAAGAAACCTATAATTTGGGAAACACAAAAATTGAAAGGAAGTATATCATTATAAAATGGAGGATGTATAATTTTGGAAATAATGGGGCAACTAGTCCGTAACATATCGACTATCCTCGTACGGCTCGAGAAAAAATGATTTGATAGTATTGTCCACCAGAACATCGATGGTTGAAAGAGGAAAATCATCTTTAAGGCTTGCCTTGTTTAGGCTTGGACTCGACTATGCGCAATTTCGGTCCCTAATGATTATTTATTTATTTATTTACTTATTTTTTCTCCCTTGGTATGGACATTCTCAACTTAAGAGTTATGAACAAAAATTGTCATTTTTTTTAGTTTACTTCAATTTTAATTTTGAAAAGCCAATCATTTTAGAAAAATTGTCTACACAATTTGTTAAGGATTACTCTTCTCGGATTGCAACTCTTCCTTTGATTCAACAATTGATATGGCTTTAATCATTGCCTCCTCAGTTGTTTCAAAATGCCACGGATTAGCTCAGAGTTCAATCGCTTAGAAAAAGAGAGCACCTAATAAACCTAGATACAATTAAAATATTCTTGTATGTATCCAAATTTGAACCAGTTTCAACCCCATTTTTCTAAAAATTCATTTTTTCAAAACTCATTTTCAATCATACATTCTTCAATAAAATAATATTACACACAAACCCAAAATTTTTCTTTATTTTTTAACCACATATTCTTCATCAATCTATTAATCCAAAATGCATTCTTTTCCTACAAGAACCATGCTACACCTGCATACAACTTTCACAGAATTTGTTCACAGATGAATGCATGGCAAAATTTCATTTATTTCAATCAAAACAAACAAAAAAATGCACCATATTGGTGCTGACAACTCAGCAACTGTATGATGCCTGTGAACAATTGTTCTTCCTAAAATGGGGATCAAACAAGGACATATACTCATCATCTATAGAGACACATTCGACAATATTGTAATAAATCATTCTTTCTCCGATATAAATAAAAACTACAGGGTTACGATTGTAAGTGTGAGATTTTTTTCTCCTTACGAATTACCAAGACAGTGAATATGGTACGTTGAGATGAGTAGAACTCGACAATACAACGTATGAATACCTGTCTTCAATCTAGTTTATGTCAACATAGAAAAAATGCCGTCCCAGTCGAACATTTATTGTCTAAAAAGTCAGAAGCAATCATCTATTGAAAAACAAATTCATAGATTTGCTTAAGCCTGCACCATTCAAATAAATTTTAACTTTCAAATGGAAAAAAAGAAGATAATGTCAAACTACGAAACGTATAAGCCATCTAAAGTCAAAGTAAAATTCTGACCAGATTTTTAAATTTGGCAAACCTATTTTGAGATTTTGCATCTTCAATATTAAATTTCTTAACAATGTTGGACAAACACAACGCAAGGCGCAAGCAAGTTGTTTGTATAATAGTGATGTATGGATTTTATAATTAATAAGGGTCTATTTGTCACTATTTTTACTTCTTGTGTACGAGAATTCCATGAAGAAGTTACTTTAAGCAAATTTTCTCAAAACTTCTTCTAGTCAATCAAAGTGCTTTCGGAAAATTATTCGAACACTTTCAAAAGCAACTTATTTATCTCAAAATCAATTTTTGACTTTTCAAAAAGTTTGTCAAACAAACCCTAAGTACAAATTTATAATGGGATGATATTACTTTTTTCTAAGTGCAAAATAACCTGTATATACTACCCAATAATTTTTTAGTCTTATTAATTCAATTCATGATAAATGCTTTATAATTTATAAATATTGTATCGAGAAAATGTTTAGGGATGGCAACGAGATGGGTTCGGGGCAGGGCACCTCCACCCCCACCCCCACCCCGCCTTGCCCGTTCTCATTCAAACCTCGCCCCCGCCTTAGACGGGGTATGCAGGCGGGGCGGGGCAATTAATTTTTTTATTTTTATATCTTTTTTACATTTTCAAAAGATTGAGTTATATCACTATTAAAGAATAAAATACAAATTCAAAATGAATTTTTAACGGGTGAATTGTGTAGAAATAAAATTATTTTTAATCTTTTTTCCTTTCACGTGGTGGGTTCGGGGTGGGGTGAGACCCCATGCCCCATGACAGGGTGGATTTTTTTGCCCTATTTGGGGCGGGGCCACTTCGGGACGGTTTTTTTTTTTTTTTTTTTTTTTTTTTTTTTTTT